GGTAGTGACAGGGATTAGGGTAGTGACAGGGATTAGGGTAGTGACAGGGAATTGGGTAGTGACAGGGAATTGGGTAGTGATAGGGAATTGGGTAGTGAAAGGGATTAGGGTAGTGATAGGGATTTGGGTAGTGATAGGGATTAGGGTGGTGATAGGGACTAGGGTGGTGATAGGGATTAGGGTGGTGATAGGGATTAGGGTGGTGATAGGGATTAGGGTAGTGATAGGGATTAGGGTAGTGATAGGGATTAGGGTAGTGATAGGGATTAGGGTGGTGATAGGGATTAGGGTAGTGACAGGGATTAGGGTAGTGATAGGGATTAGGGTGGTGATAGGGATTAGGGTAGTGACAGGGATTAGGGTAGTGATAGGGATTAGGGTAGTGATTGGGGTTAGGGTAGTGACAGGGATTAGGGTAGTGACAGGGATTAGGGTAGTGACAGGGATTAGGGTAGTGATAGGGATTTGGGTAGTGACAGGGATTAGGGTAGTGATAGGGATTAGGGTAGTGACAGGGATTAGGGTAGTGATAGGGATTTGGGTAGTGATAGGGGTTAGGGTAGTGATAGGGGTTAGGGTAGTGACAGGGATTAGGGTAGTGACAGGGATTAGGGTAGTGATAGGGATTTGGGTAGTGATAGGGGTTAGGGTAGTGATAGGGGTTAGGGTAGTGATAGGGGTTAGGGTAGTGATAGGGATTTGGGTAGTGATAGGGGTTAGGGTAGTGATTGGGGTAGGCCCGGTGTCGTAGCTGGGGTGATGGAGCAAGAAGCAGCAGGCGCAGGATGGGCGAGAGAGAAGAGATGGAGCAGTTGCAGTCCACATTTGCTCGACCGCTTTCTCCTGCCGAGCAAGGGGAAAGCACTCCCCCGGGCGCCCGCGCGGAGTTTTGCCAACACGTGGGCCACCCTGGCAAATACCGCGGTGTGCTTGACCAGAAGTACATGCGCACCGTCTGACCCGCAGTGCACGCGACGGACCCCGGGATGTTTTTCGAGAGCTGGCCACGTGCGCTGGCATCACGGTCCAAATTGTGCCAAATGACGCCGCAATTTTACTTGAATCGTCCTTCCTTTGTGTGCCGATCCAGCAGAGTCCTGCTCCTGCTGCTCCTGCTGCTGCTGCTGCTACTACACTGAGGTTTTTATTGAGAGACGTTCACAGCCAATTTACGACGGGTTGTTTTATACGTGTGGCGGCAGGAAATTAGGAGCATTGCTGAGAAAACCCGCAAGGCGCGCGCTAGGGGGCAACTACTCTTATACCCCCCCCCCCGAGAGACGGAGAACTGATGGCGTGCGACGAGTCCACACTTGCTGCACCGCCTTCTCCCGGCGAGCCAGGGTGCGTGGTCGGCCTCGTCGACGCCCACGGGAAAGGGAGTTTCGCGGCCCATCTCCGCGTGGCGATCCACCAACCCCCCATCGCCGCCTCCCCGGCGCCGGGCTACAGGAAGCCACGTGCAGCGGCCAGCCCGGCGCGGTAAAACCACGGAGCGGCCCTTTGCACCGTCGACTACGAAATGCCCCGACTGGGCTCAACCGTGACAGGTAGAGTGCGCGCTCGTGATAGCCTTTGCGGACCTCGCCCAGGGTTATGTGCGGTAAAGTCTGCGCGTGGTAAGTTTAACCGCGCGTCGTCGTCGCCCACTTGATGCGCGTCGCAGCTCCCTCGGCAGGCGGGAGGGGAAGGGTCCGGCCGGGGGCAGGAGGAGTGATCGCAGGCCAGCAGCGGAGCTGACGACGCACCGACCCCAACCGCGCGAGCGCGCGCAGAGCAAGCGGCTCGTGATCGGAAGGTTGCGAGTTCGCATCCTGGTTGGGGGGGGGGGGGTCGACTCGGCCCATCATCACATCGCTCCGGAGGAGGGTCGATAAAATACGTATCATTTTTGTGGGCGGCGGAGAGGAGGGGGGGTGGGGGGGGAGTCAACAGCGGTTGTGGGATGGGAGACTTTGCACCCACCACGATAGGAACGTGGAATTATTTCCACCCACTGGCTCGGAGCAGTAAAGAGGAGATGAGCAGGAAAATCACTTTTAGACGGGTTTTTTTTGTCACATATATGCAAATTATGGTAATATTACACTTTGGTTCATGGAGCGAACAAGACTGTACAAAGGAGTCAAACAATAGAAGGCGACGCAAACGAGACGGTGGAAAGGAGAGAAAAAGGAGTGGAATTTTCGCAGACGTTGAGTTTACCACAATTCCTCAATTCACCGGTGGGACGTGGTGGAGGGGAGGGGGGGGGCGAGGGGAAAATCACGACATCCTTGCAGTTCCCGAACGTGCCATGATCATCATCATCATCATCATTCACGCGAATGCGAGGACGTCTCGTTCGCATCCACGAGCGACGTCACATCGATGTGCGTGCACGCGACGTCACGTTCGCGGGTGTGACATCACAATCACAAACGACGTCACACCAACATTCCTGAAAGCGACGTCACGTACACACGCCAACGTCACACATCGACATTCACGGACGCGACGTCACGTCCGCGGACGCTCGCCAACGGCGCGGGGTCGCCATTCGCGAGTGCGATTTTGATCGCTTTAAGCGTTCGCGCGACGGCCGCGTCCCCCCAACGTCGCAGTCGGCGTTGCACGACTGCGACGTCGCAATCGCGAACAGCGACGCCGCGGACATCGGCGGCGCGTTCGCAGAGGGACGTCCCCGCCGACGTCGGATCGTCGGGCCGTTGGCAGCGCCGCTGCCGCCGCCGCCGCCGCCGCCGCCCCGGCCGAGTTGACCCAGGTGGCCGCTCGCGAGTGGGCCGCACATTCCCCTGACCCGAGACTCTCTCCTCTCGCGAGTTCCGCCGGACGCGAAGCCACGTTTTTAGTGAGGGCGAGCATGCGGTCTGCTCTGCGTGTGACCCTCGCCTTTGGTCGGGAAAGCCTCGTTTAGAGCCTCGGGGATTTAAGAAAACAAACGACCAACATCGCAGGAGAGTCCTGCTGCTACATTTATTTGGGGTTGGGGTTGCGGGGGGGGGGGAGTGTGTGCGTGCTTGACAACATCCACGTTAGAAGCGTTCTAAATACTGCGACCAAGTCCTCTCTGAAACTATAAACTATTTTGTTTTATGTTACCAGGTAAGGCCCACCGAGCCGTATAGCTCTTTTTTTTCAGAAGCGACCTGGCCGCCGCAATTGATGGCTCAATGAAGCGGCTTATCATCACGTGGAAATGTTTAGCAGCCAAATACTCCGAACGCACGTCGATTCCAAATGTGGATGAGGAAAAAAAAAACTGTAGGACATGGGAGAAAAATCCAAGCGACCACAGAGAGAGAGGAGACACGCAGACTCCAAGTATACAGGTGTCAGGGACGGGATCGAACCCACAACCTCCTGCATAGGTACGTATGTATGTTGAACTTCTTTTGCGCCGTACGTTGCCAACCGTGCTAAATCGGAGGTGCGGGGGAGTTAACATCTCGCCACCGGTGGCCGGTTGGATCTGGTCACCTGTCTCTCTTCTCCGTGGTTGGCCCTGCCCACCTGCTTGGTCATATCTGCTAGGTTCCATCTGGGAGCTTTAGGACTCTCTGCTCTACGGTTGACACTGGCCACCAGGCCCTCCTGCCCTCAGCACACCTGATGGATGTTGGTCACGTGCATCTCTTAGCACCGGATCCTCTCTGTCGGATGGAGGGGGGGCGAGGAGGGCACGGACCGGCGGTCTGGCTGCGTCAGACTTGGCAGCTGCTGTTGTCGAAAGCTAAGGAACAACGGGAAGGGATCCCAACGCGGGGTGACGACGGTGGTGACAATTGTAACCACCCCTTGCGGGGTGTGGGGGTAGCGGAGGGTGGACGCAGCTCCTCTGCACCGTCCGTCAGGGATCTCGAGAGCGGTCCACGCGTCCGAACATTTCCAGAGTTGGGAGGGGGTGGGACAGCGGGGGTGAGGGGGGGGGGCCGAGCCGGCGGCCTCGACCCGGGCCACCGCCGGCGGCGTGCTCGTCGGCGTGAGCCTCTCCCTCCTCGCCCCGGCTCCGAGATGAAACGACGAAACGCGACGTCGCCTGGGGAACGTTCGGGAGGGGAGTCACGCTCGGCGGCCCCGCGGCGCGCCGTATAATTATTTATATATGTATAAATATAGTACAATTCCAGTGAGATCAAATGTTTAAAAACGAGCAAATTTTTACAGGGCGTGGCGATGAAAGCGTGGTACGACGACAACGATGGACTTTCCCCGCGGTTTCAACGTTGGTTGTTGTTGTTGTTGTTATTTCTACGTTCATCTCGCCAAAGCTGGCTTCATTTGAAATGGATTCCCAGGTTGTAAGGGAGAACCTGGCTGTTCGGTGATTGCTGTGCGACGTATAACGGTGGCGGGGAGGGAGGTAGGGGGGGGGGGGGCGAGGGTACTAATGGATGCCCAAGTTACAAGATGCTCGTTACGATCATGAATCCAGGAAGATGCAAACATATTGTCTTACTTGTCCTCTACGTATGCTGCGCTAATTTGTTTTTACTTTTGTTTACATCAGACGCTCGCGAAAACCAAACCAAAATCGGATTCTGCGAAGAGTCATTTAAAAAAGAACAAGAGAGCGAAAGCCAAGATAAACGTTTCAGATTTCCTGCCCGACTGCTATACATATATAAGTTAGTCTCCGCTGCGTTTAGCTAACCCACTATCGGCACGGAGGAGGCCAAATCGATTGTAGCCAAAAAGTAGAATAAACCACACGGGGGGTGGTGGTGGGGGGGGGGGTAGAGGGGGGGGGGGGAGAAAATAAAAATAAAACCTCCAGCAACGGAGTGATTTGAGGCGCAGCGGCGCGGTCATCGTAAGCGATCTCGCTTTCGATCCGCGGCGAGCGGGGGGGGAGAGCGGTGTGCGGTCAGCGATGACCTGGCCTGGACAGCCGCCACCTAGGATATGAAACCGCACGACGCACGACTCGACGCGACGCACGGTGCCCATCGTGAGGCAGGCGTCTCGCGGCCCTGGCGCGGAGAGTTCTGCAGATGGTATGACGCCGTGACGGGGTTGTGTAGAGTGATGGGGGTATGACGCCGTGACGGAGTTGTGTAGAGTGATGGGGGTATGACGCCGTGACGGAGTTGTGTAGAGTGATGGGGGTATGACGCCGTGACGGGGTTGTGTAGAGTGATGGGGGTATGACGCCGTGACGGAGTTGTGTAGAGTGATGGGGTATGACGCCGTGACGGAGTTGTGTAGAGTGATGGGGGTATGACGCCGTGACGGAGTTGTGTAGAGTGATGGGGGTATGACGCCGTGACGGAGTTGTGTAGAGTGATGGGGGTATGACGCCGTGACGGAGTTGTGTAGAGTGATGGGGGTATGACGCCGTGACGGAGTTGTGTAGAGTGATGGGGTATGACGCCGTGACGGAGTTGTGTAGAGTGATGGGGGTATGACGCCGTGACGGAGTTGTGTAGAGTGATGGGGGTATGACGCCGTGACGGAGTTGTGTAGAGTGATGGGGGTATGACGCCGTGACGGAGTTGTGTAGAGTGATGGGGGTATGACGCCGTGACGGAGTTGTGTAGAGTGATGGGGGTATGACGCCGTGACGGAGTTGTGTAGAGTGATGGGGGTATGACGCCGTGACGGAGTTGTGTAGAGTGATGGGGGTATGACGCCGTGACGGAGTTGTGTAGAGTGATGGGGGTATGACGCCGTGACAGGGTTGTGTAGAGTGATGGGGGTATAACGCCATGACGGGGTTGTGTTGAGTGATGGGGGTATGACGCCGTGACGAGGTTGCGTAGAGTGATAGGGGTATGACGCCGTGACGAGGTTGCATAGAGTGATAAGGGTATGACGCCGTGATGGGGTTGTGTCGAGTGATTGGGGTATGATCCCGTGATGGAGTTGTGTAGAGTGATGGGGGTATGACGCCGTGACGGGGTGGTACACAGCGATAGCGCTATGACCCCGTGACGTATTTCATAAGCCTCCAGCCCGACCTTGGCGTGCGCTACAAGCCAGAGAGGCTGCGGCAATCTACGATCGGGCACCCGTGATTACATCGCCATCGTTCCCCATCCCCGCCGCGCCTCCCTTGAGCCCTGCCTTGCTGCTGGGTTCCACGGTTTATTTCCTCGACACGAGCGAGACGTATCCCCGGGTTAGAGACCACGTCCCGTGCGAATTAGCTCCTGCTCCGGACGCACCTCAACAGGTGAAATCTTTTCACGCACCTGGCACGCATCCCCCCCCCCCCCCACCCCCCGTACTGTCTCCCGCGCTGCGGCCGTGGCCTCCTGCCAGTCGTGTTGCTCCCCACTCTGCTCGACCGGCGTTTAAAAAAAAAAGATTAAATGATAAATCGGGCCCTGACTTTAACTTGCAATGAAGCCTCTCCTGTCTCCATTTCAAGCGGTGGCGGTGGCGACGACGGCAGCAGCGGCGGCGGCGATGGTGGTCGTGATGGCGGTGGTGATGGTAGTGATGACGACACTGGTGGTGATGGTAGTGATGTCGACACTGGTGGTGATGGTAGTGATGACACTGGTGGTGATGGTAGTGATGACGACACTGGTGGTGATGGTAGTGATGACGACACTGGTGGTGATGGAAGTGACAGGAGAAGTGTCGGCAGTGGTCGTGTCGGCAGTGGCGGTGGTGCTGATGATTGAGGTGGTGGTAGGGATGGTGGCAGCTAAGGTGATGAAGGTGGTGGCAGTGCTACTGTTGTCCTCGTCGTCGCGATGCCCCCGAGCCTGGGCCTTGCGACGGCCTCTCCCCGCCCCCACGCCCTCCCGCGCAGCGAGCAGACGGAGAAACGTCGCGACGCTCCGTCGGCTACTGCCCCCCCCCACGTGCCCGTTCACAGCCGGCACGGGCAAGACGGGACAGGACGAGCGGGTTGTGGTCGCCCGCTTGGGTCGGCCGCTCACGGATCAGAGCAGGCCCCACGGCGCAATGGTGGTGGGCGCCACGGGCTGTGGCGGGCCAGTCTGCGTGCGTGAGCGGTCGGGTCATTCCTGCCCGAAGCCCTCCGTCTCCTCGATGGCGTAGAGCAGCTTCTCCTTGAGCTGCTCGAAGCTTTTGTACGGCGGGAGGTCCAGGCGGTTGAAGCTGTGCGCATGAGAGAGTGGGGGGGGGGAAGGGAAAAATCAAAGACAGATACGGCAAGCCCTCGCCTAACGCGTTACAACGCGGTTTCTGAGTGGTTGCCGGTGGACTGCTTTCTTGAGCTGCGCGCTATCCAGGCGGAGTAGGAATTCTGGGTGGTACGCACGGAACGATGCGGCATGCGGCGGCGCACCCTCATCTCAGTTCGTATCCCGCCATCATCTCGCTGCGTGCGTGTACGACGCATCTTGCCAAACTTCACCGTTACGTTACGTCTTACGGGGCAATTGCTTTCGCTTGACGCTTTTAATCAGGAACGTTTCGACCGCGTGAAACGAGGATCTACTGTAGAGTTAATCATTCATCGCTGTGTATAGGTTTTTGTGGATTAATTTCTCCTGCATCTAAGTGGAAGCTGCTCAGTGACCGGCCTCCCCTGCAAACGTGTCTGGCACGACATTTCGACGTTTCGCTCCGCGTCACGGCAGCTTCTTCGGCAACTCCTTTCTTAAGGAAACCTATTCGATCCCACAGCACCATCTCCACGGTGCACGTGCCGGTCCTTCCAAAGTCTTCAAGGCAAAGAGGAAGGTTGGGGGGGGGCAGGGGGGGCTCACCAGGTGTGGCTTCGAGGCAGCCAAGTGTCTTTGCCGACTTTCTCGATGCAGAACTTCTGCGCTCCGTTGCTCCCTGAGGACACGAGGGTTACGGAACAGACTCGTCAGACGGCACGGCGAACGCCCCCGGGTGATCCAGGCGAGGATTGGTTGATCACCCTCAAGATTTGTGAAATGCCCAACTCGCCCCAAGAACATCCCCAGCGTATTATAGCCTTCAACATTTTGGGGGGCAAGTGCCGTCAGCGAGCACCTATTAAGGCCGGCAGGGTACAAGGACCGGTTCAGATACGCGTCACTAATGTTGGCCGTGAGATCGAACGCGGGTCGCTGGGGTTGTCGCGCAGCGCGCTAACTACTGCACCACCACTCTCCCGACACACACAAACACACACCAGACAATATGATAAGTCTCCCATACAGTGTGGAGTTTGTATTCCTGATACGGCAGTTGTTGTTCTATGTTGTTAGTATGTTGTTAGTATGTTCTCCCCTCTGTTCTGCAAGGGTTTCCTCCAGACTCTCCAGTTTCCTCCCATAGCTAAAAACCCTCACACGCACTGTTACTGGCGCTGACCAAAAGCAACATCCCAATGGTAAAAAAAATAAAGTATTTATTACTTATTTATATTTAGTCACTTGCTTATACCATTTCCTCAATTTTTTCACTGCTCTTGTTTTGTTTGTATTGGTTGCTGTTGAAACTTGCTGATCTGCCTCTCCACCCCCCCCCCCCTCACCCCATGCTGGAGATCTGTGATAAAGAGCTTCGTAGCTCATCGGATTCCTCCTGCAGTTTTTAATATTCTCATTGTGAAAAATTCACCGACAACATGTACTAAATCGGGATCAAAGACAATGACAAAGAAACCCCCGTAATAGCCTTAGCAGACTGCCGGGGCAAGTGCTGTTAGCGAGCAGCACCTATGAAGGCCGGCACGAGAGGGGTGGGGGGGGGTGGCCAACACCACGTCCGGTCGCCTTTGTCTCCCCAGTGGCGATGTTTACACACCGCACCAGGTACTCATTTGAGGCCGAGTCGACCTAGGGGAGGCCCAGGACCGGTTCAGATAATCGTCACCGGTGTTGGCCGTGGGCGTGAATCGAACCCGTGTCGCCGGGTTCGTAGCGCAGCGTAGCGCTAACCACGACACTTACCGCTCCCCTCACTGGGATCGGGTACACACACAGCAGCAGCAGCATCAGCAGCAGCATAGCCGCGCCCCTTTGCTATGAAAAACTTATTATTTAGATTATTTTGCTGCTGCTATAAATGCCCAAATTATAAATCCATTTTGTTTGAGCTATCATGTTGCGGTGGCCAGGTCGGTTCTGCAAAAGAAGTTAATACCTCAATGGGGCTTTGCCTGGTTATGATCGGGATGGTTTAGTGTTGTATTCGTATGAGTTTGGGCGATTTGCTTTTATTTTATTATGGTTTATTTTTATTATTTTATTATTTCCCTTCTAAAGTGACTTTACCGAAAGAACCAAGAATATGTGTTAACTTTCTTGTACTTAGGAATAGGTTTTACCCTTTTAACTGGCACAAAAACTGACACCTTTATTCAAGGCATCATGTTTGCAATAACCACAACACAAGCAGTCAAAATGCAAACAAAAAAGACAACTCTGATAATAATAATATGCACTGTCCTTGAATTTGATTGGTCCACACCCGAGACAGCTTTTCTTAGAGCCCTTTAGTCTCCATTGGTGTTGGACCAGAAGACGCCAAAAGGCGTACAACTCAAAAACAGCGCACTATCAGAGTATTGAGGGCTCGGGGTGAGCATTTACATTATGAGACCTCCTTTGCCAGAAACAAGATATAGGAATAGGTTTTACCCTTTTAACTGGCACAAAAACTTTCTTGAACTTTGCGCGGCTATCGTATTTTTGCACCGTTTGTTGTTGTAATGTCCTTACCCCGTGTCCCTTACCGGACACCTGTGAACAAGAGCTTTATATTATGAGACCTCCTTTGCCAGTGGCAAGATATAGTAATAGGTTTTTACCCTTTTATCTGGCACCAAAACTGACACCTTTATACAAGGGATCATGTTTGCAATAACCACAACACAAGCAGTCAAAATGCAAACAAAAAGAGACAACTCTGATAATGATATTGGCACTGTCCTTGAAATTGATTGGTCCAGACCCGAAACGGCTTTTCTTAGAGCCTAGCCTCCACTGGTGTTGGACCAGATAACCAATCAATTTCAAGGACAGTGCAGTTCATTATCAGAGTTGTCTCTTTTGGTTTGCATTTTGACTGCTTGTGTTGTGGTTATTGCAAACATGATCCCTTGTGTAAAAGGGTGTCAGTTTTGGTGCCAGATTAAAAAAAAAAAAAAACCTATTACTAAGAGCTTTAACAGCTCATCGGATTCCTCCTGCAGTCTAAACAAATAAGATTCTTGAGCGAGTCGAAATTCGTCGCTCACCCATGAGTTCGTTGAAGCCTCCGACGGGAAGGCGGCACGTGCCCGTCACGAATTGGAGCAGCCGGGTCCTCTTCTCGTTGTCCATTTCCCGCACCACCTGTCCCCGCCGCAAAGAAACGGATGAGCACCCCTTACGCACAGCGCGCTCACAGAGGCGACGCTTCCATTATGCTGGGCGACACGGAGGGGGAGAGGGCGGGGTGGTGGACGGAGGTGGTGGTGGGTGGGGGGATGGCCCGGATAGTAACAACAAAAGCTACAGCACTAAAAAAAAACGTCGATACAATAATAATAATAAAAAGCTCTATCGGCGGTCATAATGCGCACGTAACGCAAAGGGAAGGGTCGCAAGAGCGAAGCTTTGTTTTTTTCCCCCCCCGAGGGGAGCCCCGAATGGCAGCTCGTCCCCGCGTGGCACAAGGCGGCTCAGAGGCACGGTGAAGTACGGTCAAAACAATCAGCGGGACTGGGGGAGCGGGGTGGGGGGTGGGGGTGTGGGGGTGTGGGGGTGTGGGGCCTGAGTCGACCGTCTTCCCGCGTACCGTGATGCAAACCCGACTATCCAACCCGCCTCCCGCCCCCACTCGTCGTATAATACTCGGTGCGGCGTGTGTACAACGTCACCAACCGGAGAGACCAACTATGGCGGTCGGGCGTGGCGCTACATACACCACCCACTCTCTTGCGCCCGTGCCTGCCTTCGAGGGTGCTCGCCCGGTGAAACTTCCCCCCAACGGTGGGTCTGTTAAAAGTTCTACGGGGGGTGCGGGCGGGCGGGCGGGCGGGGGGTGCGGGGGGGATCTTTGTCTCCGCGTGGTTCACGTTGGAAGTGCACCGCACCTGCCAGAACCACACGATCTGCTTGCTGTTGCGGTTGTAGTGCCTGTAGATGGTGCTGCGCTGCCAGTCGGTGAGGTCGATCTCCTGCATGCCGCACAGCATCAGCTGCGGCGGGGACGGGACGTGCGTGGGAAGGCGAGTGAGCGGGGAAGGAAGGCGGGACACGACATAGACGCGCAAACGCAGTCCACTCTCGTGCCGATGTTGTCCCAACATATAAATCGGGCGATTGTTTGCCGCCGGTTCTGGCTGCCTTCGCCGCTTTGTCTGCGGTGTTCACGGGCGTGGAAATAAAAAAAAAACTACGGCGTGACAAATTCTCCCGAGATCGCGATTTTCATGAACGACGCCGTATGAAATAAAAAAAATGATGTTTAAACGTTAGAACACTTCCTGTGCATATTGTCACCGGACCGCCGATTGTCTCGTACTGCAACCACACGGGTTGGAGTGAATCGGTAAGTCACACCGATTGTTTGTCGCTGTGACTTGCTGACCACGCCCCTAACCGGGCATCTGTGAAAAGAGCTTCGTAGCTCATCAGATTTCTCCTGCAGTCGAGATGAAGATCCTCATTCTGGTAACGTAAAAAGCCTTAAAAATGTATGGTACAGCAGCAGGCCACGATAGCATTCAGTGCACCATCAAGCGCTGTGACATCATTATGATCATCAGCCGTGGTCAATCCACTGCTGGATGAAGGCCTCCTCGGAGCCGTCGCCATCCCTTCACGGCACTGCGATTATCGTCCGCACATTCCGCCCAAACGCCACTACAAAGTGTGGAATGAACAAAATGTCATTTAAAAGCAGACAAGGTCTCCTTGGCGAATCCATCTCATCCAATCGCTCCGCGTAAAACAAGACAAAAAAACAATCTAACACAACCCAAAGAGCCGCACAAGCCTTCTGGCGGCACTTAACTTCAGGAGCGTTGATTCAAAACCACGCAGAACACTCCGGAGCGGCTTTTCGACGCAAAGAATACCACCACCACCATGTGCAGAGTGAGCCGAGCTCGAGTCGACGCTGTGACCTGCCCGATGTTTACCGGCGAGGGCTGCATCTTTGCCATATGGGTCCCAGGTACGGTGATAAATCACTCAAAATTACAACTTTACGGCACTCGTATGTATAATCGTATCGCCCTGCATTTTGTAACAGCAAAGGCAAAGATCCCCCGTATAGCCTAAACAGACTGTTGGGGTAAGCACTGTTAGCGAGCACCTATGAATGCCGGCACGGCACACGAGGGGGTGGGTGGCCAGCACCACGCCCGGCCGCCTTAAGTCTCCCGAGTGGCGATGTTTACACACCACACCAGGTACTCGTTTGAGGCCGAGTCGACCTAAAGGAGGCTCAGGTAATCGTCACTGGTGTTGGTGGCCGTAAGCGGGAATCCAACTCGGGTCGCCGGGTTCGTAGCACCGCACGCTAACCGCTGCACCACCGCTCCATACCTGTCGTAAGAGCGCGCACACACACGCGCAAGCACGCACTCTCAACGCACCTCCAGCTCTTTCTCGTCGAAGTACTGCAACCACTGCAGAGGCACCACCTCGTTAAAGCCGTCGAGGAAACCCTTGGTCTGCTCCTCCACTCCTCGCGAAAACCGCCACTCTGACATCAGCCTGCGCGGGCGCGAGCGCACACACCCACCGTTCAAACCCCTGGTAGCTGCGATGAACGGATGGGTCAGCGAGTGAGTGGGCGAGTGGGTGGGCGAGCGGGTGAAAGGGCGAGCCAGTGGTTAAGCACGGCTGCAGAAACTTTGGAAAAGAGACGGTGACTTTGGGAGGAGGGAATTCAACAGTGGGGGGCAGTGCGAGGCAAGAAGCCAAAATTGAAGTGTTGTGACCTGCACGGGGTGAGTGCGTGGGTGAATGATTGGGTGGATGAGTGGGTGGATGGATGAGTGGATGGATGAGTGGGTGAGTGAGTCGGCAAGCGAGCGTGCGAGCGGGTGGCCAAGCGCCCGAACCTGATGTACTCTTCCTTGTTCTCCTCCGTGACCTGGACCTCGCTGCCTTCGGGCTTCAGGTCATGTGACTTGATCTCTCCCAGGATCTCCATGTCAACCGCAAAGAACATCTCCAGCCCGCACTCCTCGATGTTGTTGTCACTGCCGGGGGAACAGCAGCGAAGCCGTCGAGCCAAGGTCAGATTCATTTATTTTAGTTTCGTGATAATAATTTTTGTTGTTTGCTGCTTTCTTTTTTTACTTGTAACACTTTGCATAAGCTCCGTCCGTCCGATCGTAACTTTCCCGGCGCCCGTGACGAGCGGCGGCGCTGTAACTCGCATGAACATCACTGAACTTGAACGGAACTGGAGCGTGAAGCTGTTGTTGAAAACCGGCCACACTCGCATCAAAGCGACGCCCAAAACACTTGGGAGGCATTCCGTCGGCCTTGCAATGGCTCACAACATTTACAATACGATTGTAGCATGTGGCTTTACTCTTTGGTTCTTTCCGTAAAGTCACGTAGGTATAAAAGAAAACAAAATTAAATCACGACGTTTCGGGCGCAACACAAGCGTCCGTCATCAGGTGGGACAACCACAGCAAGAAGCAATTGCTGAAGTGGGCAAAAGGGCTGCTGCAACAAGAGGCCATATAGGCAAGAGAAGGGGGGAGGAACCAGGGAGGAGAGACAGGGAGGGTGGAAAGACACAAGCACGGCAAAAAATGCCGGGGTGGGGAGGGGCTGGGAGTGGGAGGGTTAGGAAACTGGATATGCAGATATGAAGGCAGGCCAAAAGCAGTTATGGTTTTGCCTGGTTAATAACATCCTTCCAATGATTGCTCAATCTGTATCCATATTCCCGGTTGAAGTTATGTCTATGTTTATATGTCTGGATGGCTTCATGAACAAACCTTTGATAGTAGTCCGAAGATTTGCAGAGTACCTTGGTCTCGGAAAAAAACAATATCATGAGAGCCCACAGCGTTATAGCAATGGTCAGCCACGGCGGAGGTATTGGTTCTGCCGTGTTTCAGATCTGACTTGTGCTCGCGAACACGGTCCGAGATATGTCGTTTCGTTTCCCCAATGTAACACCCACCACAGGTGCAACTTAGTTTGTAGACTCCAGGATATTGCATGTCAGGAATGACATCCTTCACAGATGGGATTAGATCATGGATTTTGTGTACTGTACTGAATCGGACTTGGATCTTGTGTTTGTTTAAGATTTTGGAAATATTTTTGGTAACGCCTGCTATGTATGGTAACGTGATGGTTTTGATCGGCGTCTCAGGGAGTTGTTTCTCCATGGCTGGAGAAACAGCTTTGTGGATAATGCGTTCCGAATATCCATTCATCTTAAGGGCCTGGTGTACGTGTTCCAGTTCACTGGCTAGGTGGTGTTGGTCAGAAATGCAGTTATTTGGCCACATGGCCTGCCAGCAATGAACCAATTAATTCCATACACCCATCCATCAAATTCACCATGGAAGTGGAGACGGATGGAAACCTACCATTCCTGGATGTTCTGTTTGAGAAGAGACCTGATGGCTATTTGGGACACTGTCTACAGGAAAGCCACCCACAATATAACAAAGAGTATGGATCCCTGCAGTCACGAAAACTTCAAATCTAGATTTTAGCCTGTGGCTTGTTTGATCAAACGGCACACGGAAGAAGAAGAAAAGAAGAAGACTAAGAAGAAGAAGATGAAGAAGAAGACGAAGAAGAGGAAGAAGAAGATGAAGAAGACGAAGAAGAAGAAGAGGAAGAAGATGACGAAGATGAAGAAGAAGATGACGAAGAAGAAGAGGAAGATGAAGAAGACGGAGAAGAGGAAGAAGAAGATGACGAAGAAGACGAAGAAGATGACGAAGATGCAGAGGAAGAAGAAGAAGAAGACGAAGAAGAGGAAGAAAGAGAGGAAGAAGAAGAACAACAACTGCAGTCTCACCGGACCCAGATGAGGGAGTTGTAGAACTCCGTGTCGATGGACTCCAGGTCCTTGATGGTGAGCTTCTTGCTCAGCATGCGCTTGTAGAAGGGCAGACTGAAGCCTGTGTCGATGAAGCGCCCGTGGTACAGGGCCTGCAACCGGTGAGGGGAGGGGGGTGGGTAGGGGGGGATAGGGGAGGGGTAGGGGGGGATGGGGGGGGGTAGGAGGGGGACGCTCGCATTAACCACCGCCACCGCAGTCGGCGCCACCGCGGGAACGCTCGGCAGTGGAACTGGAGAGGATTGCCTCGATGGGTCAACCGGTAGTTAACGTCTCGCCACCGTGGCACCCCGTGGCACGAGCGCCGATCGGCGCCCTCCGCCCGTCGGGCGGCGTGGGAAAAGAAACGTGCCGCGCTCTCCGCTACCATGGCGATGAAGCGGCCGATGAAGCGGAAGTAGGCGAGGTGGTCGGGGTTGATGCTGGAGGCCGGGTTGATCTGCAGGCAGTAGTTGTTCTTGCCCGCGTACTCAAACAGGCAGTACATGGGGTTGAGCACCTCGTGCGACAGCAGGAAGAACCACTCCCTGCGCAGGCAACGACGCGTTCGGTTAGTATCACCACCCCCGCTCCCCTACCACCCTCCCTCCGCCCCCCCCCCCCCCCCCCCAAAGACGTCACTCCCCCCAATGACCGTTTACAAACGGCGCCGTCGCCTTGCAAGGGATATGCGCGAGATTCCGGCGGCTTCGCAAGGAAGGGCCTTCATCCAGCAGTAGATTGACTGCGGCTGATGATGACGATCATGACGACGACGACGGAGCATAGATCATCGTTAACGAGAGCCGTACGCTTTAACGCTACGGAACAACTCCGCGTGGATAAAGACGGCACCAGCCGGCGTAGAGTTGCGGTTGTGTCGCTACGGTTCTCTGCGCTGAGTACAACGTCTTTAAAAACAACGGCGCGACTACGCCTCTCTAAATAAAATTAACGTTGAGCCACCTCGCGGTGTGCGAGATTCGGCGGTGAACGGTATACCCCACCCTGCAACTTGCAGACGTTTCGGAACGGTTCAAGGGTTAACACCTCCCGGTATATCGCCGGAAGGGTTAAAAAGCCTATTGCTTTTTTTTGCTTGTTGGACCAACGCACACACCTGGCAAGTCCTCCGTAGTCCAGGCCTTCCTCCCCGCGGAAGATGATGTAGAGCCTCCTCCGCAGGTCGTAGGGCTTCATGGCCATGATCTTAGTGCAAACATTTGAGACGGGAACAAAGTGACGTCACACTCGCCAGCCGATTAGCGCACACGACTGACCCCCCCCCCACTCCCCAAACGGCACCTACGATTTTGCCCGCACCTCCCGATAAGCACGGTTGGCTACGTACGGTGCGAACGAAGTTCACCATACGTGCATATGTACGTACGTACGATCCGCCAAAAGCTAACGATTACAATTGTTGATTCGCGTCTCGCATCTACATTTGCGACCGCATCTTCAGGCGCTGGAGCCAAACGAAAGAGAAGATAGATACTACAACCCTTACATTATAAGAGAGAGAGAGAGAAAAGAAAACACAACTCTGTACGACACAATTAAATAAGTGCAATTAAATATAATACAATGAACGAAATCAATAAACTACTTTATTTTTTAATAAGCGCCCAATTTAAAATCGATTCTCCCGCACGCAGCTTCGCGGCATCGTCCTTCCAACGAAGCTGGTGGACACCCACTGTCCACTTGGCAGCACCCGAGAACCGCGGCTCAATCGCAGCTGGCCGGAAACCAGGATCTCAACCCAGGCACTCAAATCCGTCGATCCATTTGTACGAAAACATTTCGTATTTTTTTTTTTTATAAAAGCACAGCTTGTTCGTATTCATGTCAGGCACTTTTTTTTTTGTTTTTAGGGAGCAAAGAATCCTTGAAAGCGTCGCACAAATTATTTCGGCTTCGCGCTCTCTCATCAACTTTTAAAATCGGCGTGCCGAAGAAGATAAACATCGTCTTCGTTTTCTGCAGTCCACACCCCCCCGCCGCCGCGGGCTTCAATTAGCGAGGTCACGCGCGCGCCAACAGCGCCGTCCCCAAGTTTTATCGTGCGACCGGCTCGCTCTACACGCGCGTGAACGCGTAGAGAGCGCACGGACAGAAACAGACAGGGGGTGTGGGGGGGAGGGGGGGGTTTGAAATTCGGCTTCCGCAACTTGGCCGAAAGCCCGCAAAGACCGCCCGGATTCTCCGTCAACAACAAAAACGGCGGCGGCGGCGGCGGCGGCGCCAAGACAGGACGGGACCGGATCTTGGCAGAAGCGGCGAGCGAGAAATATTAATTTAAAAAAAAGACAGCATTCAAATTGTGCGTAATAAAATATCAAATGATCGCTAACGGTGTCCAACCTCCCTCCCCTCCTCCCCGATATAAATACTGGGATGTAAAAATCCCATTATTACGCTTTAACACGTAGGCTTTCGCGACCAATATTATCCATGAGAGTTTTTTTTTGTTGGGTTAGATTGCATAAATATACAACCAGCCGAGTGAGGTTTAATCTCCAACACACCGGTGTGCTGTGCTATTAACGAATTGGCACGTTTCGTTTACGTGACAAACCTTACTGATTGGCTGTGTCAGGTGGTGGCGGGTTTAACGACGCATTCATTTTTACGCGATCTAACCCAAAAAACTTCCCCACCCCCCTCTATGATGTATTATTAAACTTGTTTGCTAAGAAGCTCACCGATCACTCAGAGGAGGGTCACGCTAAATTACAGGAGGGCAACAACTGCCGTACGTACTTCACAGCAGTGATTTGCAAGTGATTTATTATTTTTTGATTTAAAGCTTTCGTGACTGCAGGGATTCATATTCTTGGTTCTTTCGGTCAAGTGACATAGAAGGGAAGCAATAAAATAATTTTAAAAAATCAAAAATATATAAAACAATAAAATTCTCACTGTAGAAGGGAAACAATAAAATAATACAAATATAAAACAATAAAATTCTCACGTGACTTTACTGAAAGAACCAGGAATATGATTTATTATTAAAAACATTTTTTACAAATTGCACAAATCCCGAAAACGTGACACCAGGGCACAAGGGGGCCCAGCATCACGGGATCGTTTACACCTTCGCATTCTGCAGCGAAGGCGCATGCGGTTATTAACCGCTGGGACGCCCCCCCCCCCCCCCCCCCCCCCCCCCCCCCCCCCCGGATTCGAAACGCCGGGTGCTGCGGCGACCGCCGAATGGCGTTCGAAGAAGATGAAAGTCGAGAGGCTTCATTCTGGGAAAACGCTGCAAAAGCGATCCACGTAAAGTTCTCACGAGGTTGGATTTATTTTTCTCGCCAACACACCACCGGTTAGCGCCGAAGGAGAAACCGACGTCGCGTTCGCGTGACAAGCCTCACCCTCATTGGCTGTGCCGGGTGGTGACGCATTTATATTGACGCGACGACGTAACCCAACAAAAAACCCTTGACGATGGACTCTTTTCCCATCGACAAGTCCACATTTTTTAACTGTGCTGCCATCTCCTGGCAAGCACGGGGTACTACGGCACCTCGACACCCACAGGAATGGAGTTTGTCGAGATCTGAAACTCAACTAAATTCGTTTTTATTTTAGCAGGTAAGGGCCACTGACAGCTATACAGCTCTTTTTCAGAAGCAACCTTGGTCACAAATGATAGCGCGACGAAGCGGCTTCTCATCGTGTGATAAGTTATAGCAGCCAAATACGCGAAACGCACGTCGAATCTAAGTGTGGAGGGATAAACTAGAGGACTGGGTGAAAAATCTACGCAATCACGAGGGAGAGACACATGCAAACTCCAAATATACTGCAGGCATCATGGTCGGGATTGAACGCAACGCACGACCTCCTGCATAATAGGCGAGGGAGTTAACATCTCACCTACCGCGCCACCAATCAACAATGACTATTCTCATACCGCACCTGCTGGAAGGAGTCTTCGAAGAGCGTCTGTCTCGTCACGCTGATCTTCACGTGCCCGGGTAAAGCGTTGCTCTAAAACCATAGGGGAGAAGCGGCCACAGTCTCACAACTTAAACGCAGACAAAATCTATTGGAAAAAGACTAAGAACACTTCAAATGTAGATAATAACAACTTTGCATGTACGTTGAACTTCTTTCGCACCGTATGTAGCCAACCGTGCTCATCGGAGGTGCGGGGGAAGGACAACAAACTAAACACAAAAAGCAGTTCTAAAGAAATGGGTTTGTCAACCGAGATGATTTAAAAGTGCATAGTTCCAGTGGCTTCCTAACATCGGAAAATAATCATCTTTCCATTCATGCATTTACATGTGCGCTTGCTCATACGTCTCAGAAACATCGCAAGCAGCACGCATCTCATCTCAGGGCCACAGGGGCATACCTCTCCCCCCCCCCCCTCCGCACGACCATTCAGCGCTGCACCTCCCAAAGTGTATAAACGAGGCGACCGCCCGCGTAAGTACTGGACGTATAAAAAAAAAAACGGCGAGTTGAGAGCGGGGATTCCTGCGAGAGACCGTGGACGAAGCGGGCAGCCGATGGCGAGCGTGCGCCGAATCTTCGCACGCAACATTCTGCGCGCGCCTGCCCGGTGTCTGTGGTCTGGCCACTCCGCACACTCGCGAATCCCGGAGTACAGTGGGGGGGGGGGGGCGGGGTCGCGAATAGGGAACTAGGATGCACTTAGTAACGAGCTAAAATGCGCTAAATCCATAAGTCGCGCGTTGAGAGAGGGTTTAACTATTTTACAACAGCAGGGTACCCAAGAACATTGTTAATGTTTCACAGACAGGATGTATTATGGACAGGAGAGTACACAACAATAGGCATCCTTATGAATAATGTATTATGAAAGCAGGGTCCACGATAATAACACTCTTACGAATAACGCATTACGTACGGACAGCAGTGTACACAACAAGAACAACACTATGAATAACACGTTGTTGTTGTCCTTCCCCACCAGCTGGTCAGCGTCGCGTGGTGGTGCTTTCAGTTGCGTTTTTGCGGCCTCCTGGAATGCTCTTCCTTCCAATGTCAGGAAGCCATTGGAGCGTAAGCGCTTTTAAAATTAAATCGGAAACCCATTTGTTTAGAACTGCTTTTTTTTGCTGCGGTTGCTGTCCTTCCCCCGCACCTCCGATTAGCACGGTTGGCTACGTACGGTGCGAAAGAGGTTCAACGTACATGCATGAAATACACAGCAATACAATGATTACAAACAACAAGTTAAAGGCAAGTTAGATTTCTTGGGACATGTAATGAGAAAGGAACCTGTTGGTGCTTAGTTGATCATCCACGCAAGACCAACACCCCAGACTCGAGCCTGCTTAGCTTCGGACGGCGTGCATCGGTCGTGGTGGAGCGTACACAACCGGGCGGGCGTCTCAGCGATCGCGCTCGTAATCGCAACGTTGCAAGTTCAATTCCTGGTTGGGGGCCGACCCAGTCCATCATCCCTCCGGGGTCGATAAAATAGGTGCAGGGACTCCTCTACTTACGAACGAGTTAGGTTCCAGAGGACTGTTCGTAAGTCGATTTTACTCCTGTCGATAACAAACGTGTTGTACGGCATGTACACTAAACACGGGGAATGGCTTTAAAAGTTCACAATAAAGTTTTTTGGGTTAGATCGCTTAAGTATAAAATGTGTCGTAACCCTCCACCACCCGACACAGCCAGTAAGGTTTGTCACGTAAACAACGCGCCAATTAGTTGTTTTTATCACGAATAATATTGGTCGCAAAAGCGTACGTGTTGATCTTTAAAGGTTGCATAATCTCCTGTAGATGCCTTAGAGTCCACGTAATAGTGCGCCTCTTCTTACTACCACCCTCAACACTTTCGCCACTCTCACACTTCCGAGACATGATGGGGGTTGATGTTCTTGAAAAGCACAGAGGACGTCGTAGTAAACCGCACAGAGACAACAACAGACAATGGCGGCGGCCCAGGCAGAAGTGCTGGGAATGCTGGGTAATGACAGCGAACAACCACCGCCGTCTATTGCACGGCGGTTGAACTTACGACCCTCGGTCCGAACAGGCAACTGGACATATGGACCAGGTTTGTTGGTATCTCTGAAAGTTCCTAAGTCGAATGTTCGTAAGTAGAGAAGCCCCTGTACCGATTTGTAGGGAAGCCAACAACAGTGGTTGTCCTATGGATAGACTCGCCCCCTGACCCCCACCCCCAGCACAGGAATGTGGAATTTCCACCACCGACTCATGGCCGTAATTAGGAGATGAGCACCCAGTGCCGGATTAAGCTCGTTGTGGGGTCTGTAGCAAATGTTATAAAGGGACCATAAAAAAACACAAATATTAAAACACAATTTTTTTACTTGCATAGTAAAGTAATTGTATTTTTTTTTATTTGCTATACAGCCAGATAATACAACAAATCGCTAACCTTAAACACCCAGTCGTTCGAAAAATTTGAAAGCGGTATAGTACTATGCTAAGAGCCAGCATGGAAGAATCACTGAACCAGAATTGATAGCTTTAAGCATTTAGCGCGGGGCCCTTGAAAGTGTGGGGCCCGTAAGCATATGTAGGTTCAAGTTTCAAGTTTCATTTATTAGGTATAGCCCTGTGAGCCATGCGGCTCTTAAGTCGGGTGCAACCACAACAAACAAAATATTAATCAACATTGCAGAAAACTATTACACCACAACCAGACCAAAATAAAGCTGCAAAAAGTTACTTGTGCTACTAGGATAATGCGGCACCGCGCACACCGCTGCCTCAGTGTCTCATCCGAGGAAGGCAATCAGTCTCTGACTTTACAGCATAAATAAGTCCGTGGGCCAAGAGCTAAAGTTGGTACCACGCTCGGTAGCGACGCTTTAGTCACACCGATTCATGAGCACGGCCAATACGGGTGGATTATTTCACGGATGACATAAGCAGAATAAATAGGCGTTTTACCCTTTTACGGAAATAACACCAAACAGACGCACCTATTTGCAAGGCATCAAAAGTCTGCATGAACCACACATCACCCTTGTAGCAAACACATGCAAACAAACGTGCTCCGATAATTAAACAATGCATTGTCTTTGCACTCAGAATGTACGTTTGTTGAACTCCTTTCGCACCGTACGTAGCCCAACATGCTAATAATCAGAGGGTGCGGGGGAAGGACAAACAAACTAAACACATAACGAAAGCAGTTTTTAAGAAATGAGTTTAAGTACGCATGTTGGACTTGGGCGAAGAAAAGGCGAACAGCACAATGGAAGTGCAAGTATCGAAGCATTATCGGGTCGGGTTGAGCGGTATTTTCATCCCACTCATTTCAAACGCTTAGGGTGACACAATTCACCGCCGTTGGCCAACGTAGAGAAATTGGAACCGCTAAAAGTGACGTCACTTCGTGTGGTACCGCCGAACAAAGTGAGACAACGGGGGGGGGGGGGGGGGGGGGGGGGTGGGCAGGTCCCGGCTCGCAAAGACGTAAGAGTTTTGAAACGACAGAGCAAGCAAACACGCACGGTCGTCACGCTGCACGCTCTCACCTGGCACAGGTAGCGAAACTGGCCCAACTTCCACCGGAAGCTGCGCTCGTAAGCGATGGGCACCCCATAGGCGCCCTTGGTCCTGTTAACCCACGGCAGATCCCGTTATATGCATTCTATACGTTCTACGGCGTATACACAGCATTCTATACGTTCTACGGCGTATACACAGCAGAGGAGAGCTCCTCTTATCCACTACTCTATTGCCCGCGGCTCGTACAATGATGACGGTGGTGTTGACGAGGATGATGGCGGTGGTGGTGGTGGCAGCGGTGGTGATGATGATAGTGGTGGTGGTGGTGACATTGGTACAAATAGTAGTGGCTTTTATGCTGGCAGTGGTGAAAGCAGCAGCAGCAGCAGCAGCGCAGGCAGCTCACCGAGAAGCCTACACACCAGGCTGCGGTCCTAGAAGGTGGTGGTGGTAGTGATGATGAGAATGATGATGATGATGATTGTGATGGTGAATGTATATGCTCTGACTTTAACATAGCTATTTCTGTGACCAGTTACAAGCTAATCACTCAGCTATTTCAATGCTAAATTCTATGCTAATTCCTTTGTCAAGGGGTACCTCTGCGGATGTGTATACTTTAACTTAGCTATTTCAATGAGCCATTTCAATGCTAAATTATATGCTAATTCCTTTGTCAAGGCGCTTGGTGTTTTTCTTCTCACACAGCTTAAAGGTCGTGATCTAAGCGTGGCTTCTCTCACTCCAGCGCTGTCCTCCAGACAGTCTGGTCCCTTCACCTGATGAAGGCCGCTTGTGTTGTGGCCGAAACGTCGTGATTTTTTGTTATTTTATTTTCACCTACGTGACTTTACCCAATAGAACCAACGAGTATGATTGTGATGGTGGTTATATGGTGGTCGCAGCAGCAGGAGCAGCGCAGGAAGCTTACTCAGAAGCCTTTGGTGGCTATAAGGTGGTGGGTGATGATTATGAGAATGATGGTGGTTGATTTGTGGTGGTGGTTGTGGTGGCAACAGCAGCGCAAGGCAGCTCACCCGGAAGCCTTGGCGCCAGGCCGGGGGTCCTGGAAGGTGGTGGTGCGCGTGTTGTGGTCCACAAAGTAGCGGACGCCCTCATTTGTGTAGCGCATCTCCCAACCCTCGGGCAGCGGCTCCTCGTTCACGATCCTGCAGGGCAGGGGACAGGGCTGTCTTTCAAAGCCTTGAGCCATTGGGGCCCAGGAACGGCTGCGTGGTACCTCTCAGGGTGATGTTTGCTAACAATTATTTTCTTGAAACAGGTCATCTCGGGATCACAAATGGGTACGATAGCAAGGTCCCGATGGTAGCTGCAGTTGAAGAAGGGCACCCAAGTGTGTCTGATAATGCGCTTCGATAGAGAGAAAACGAGTGTGATGTGAAACATCTAGGCAATGTGAGAATAAACATATTGGTGGACCACTGCCCGCGGCGGACACTGCTCGTCTGCCAAATATTCTGCTGTAGCGCAAGTCGCTTGACAATACTGCATACAAACTCTATTCCTAAGACCTTGTTGTTGCAAACCCAACGGGCGTTTCATTGTGCCCCACCGTCTTCCAATACTAAACCACGGCCTAAAATTAAAACGCACAAACGGACTTCAACGTGCCGTCACTTCCAACAACGACCTTGTGGTTCGCAGCATCCTACGCGGCGGCGCGTCTTGAGTTTCCGGTCACATTTAGACTTTTATAAATATCCACGCCGTATCGAATTGCCGCCCCTACCCAGGAACGTAAAAGCGGCCCAGGTTGACCAACGAATCCACCGATTCACTCCGGCCACTCGCCCACCAGGGGTCAGTGGTCTGAGCTTTGCTCTTCCATCGCTGCCACTACTGCCACTGCCGTGGCCGAAGTCGAGGACTCGGGTCTGACGTCGGCATCGCTCTGCTGCGAGAGATCCGCGGGCCAGACGCGATGCCGACAGCGCACGACGGGGATTACATTTGTGGGGGGGAAAAAAAACCCCAAAATAACGTCCTAAACACAATGACGCTGTACGTATGCATGTTGAACTTCTTTCATCCTGTACGTAGACAACTGTGCTAATCGGAGGTGCGGGGGAAGGACAACTAAAGATAAAAAGCAGTTCTAAAGAAATTAAGTTCCAGTGGCTACCTAATATCGGAAAATAATCATCTTAACAACGCTGGAATTTATATTGGACCCATGACCTAACGCAACGTCTGAGAGGACGGTTTTCTAGCCTAGGGGACCCCCCCTTAATGACGAGGGGGATCGTGGAGAGGGGTGGTGGGGGGGGGCGTCAGCTTACCCCTGTGTCCGAGGGTCCTCCCACTGCGTGGTGCGCGTGTTGTGGTTGACGAAGTAGACTCTGCCGTTCTGCTCCACCCTCTTCTCTGCGGGCGGCAACGGCACAGGAGGCAGGGGACAGTCGATAAACGGCGACGTCATCATCGTCGTTAAAGAGATGCGGGCGCGACGACTTACGACGCCCAAAACCAGCGATCGGCGGTCACTTGTCCAGCCGTCGGCGTGGTCGGAAATTTCCACATTTTTGACGGTGCGAGGCCGCCGTGAAGCGGGGGCGCGCCGGTTACGTGCATGTACGTCGGTGAACGCTAGTCGGTTAGTGCTACAGCGCTGCGAACCCCCCGGGGGGGAGGGCAGAGTTTGATTCCGGGCCACAGCTTGACTTAAGCGGAGTGTGATATCCGAACGGGTTCTGCTGGGCACGCAAGCTGCTGCTTTCGCAAACCCGCACTGGCCATCGTGGTGGGCCGTCGGTTATTGTAAAAAAGACACGTCACCCCATGACCAATGCTCTTCAGATATCACTCGTTGACGTTAGCCGTAGCCGGGAATCTAACTCAGGCCGCCGGGGTCGTAGCGCGGTGCGTTAACCACTGCGTCCGCTGCTCCACTATATTATTGTTATCGTCATTAAATGTGAATTCGGGCCATTGCAGCCACAAGGTGCCAGGCCGAAGTTCATCCAAGGGGGCCTCTTCTGCTGTGAAGATGGCGAATTCCTGAAATATTCCATCATGGTCAACGATGCTCGATCCCGCTGCTGAACGAGAGCCTCGCCCCCACGCTCCCTGCCACCTCGCGGGGACCCGTGGGTGCCACGTTCCGTCTCGATGACCGCACGCGATGACCTCGCACGCCATGATCTTGCGTGCGTGCGTTAGTTCGTTTCCCGTTAAGAGGCAGCCTTAAAATTAAGATCCTGCCGGGTGGCCAAGAGGTGGTGCAAGCGGCTTGCGATCGAAAGGTTGCGAGAGTCTAATACCTGGTCGGTGGTGTTGACCCGGCCCCATCATCCGTGTGGGGTCGATAAAATAACGAATAAAAGTTCCACTCTGCACGGCAAATAAAAGTTACCCCTCTTGTGGAAAAGCCCAAGGTGGTCCGTCCTACATAATGACTCGCCCCACCCCCCCCGCCATAGTAATGTGGAATTTCCCCCAATCGAACAAGGGGCTGTAAAAACAGGGGGCGGGCACCGCCGCGATGCTCATTTGAGCGGGAAATCGCTTTTGCCACTTTGTTGTAAAATTCTGAACGTGGTGAGACCTATAGTTATTTATTGAATACGTTTTTGTTTGTTTGAGAAATCGGGGTTCAACTTACCCCAGCCTCCAGGCAGGGCACCCAGGGGGTCATTCTCAGCCGCAGCAGTGGCGGTCTGCACACACAACAACAACAACAACGGAGCGCACGCTGAGCAATACAGCGGGGGGAGGGGTGGGTGAGGGGGGGGGGGGATCCCGCACGCACGCACGCACGCACGCGCGGGCGGACACCCCAAGCGCTCGCGCGACGCCGAGAGTTCATCCGCGGTGAAGCGTTTTCATCGGCGGCGAACGACGTCAGCTTCACGAGCGGCAGGGCGAGAGGTGGCGGCGCGCTCGAGGGCACGCACAGGGGGGCGTGCGATGTCATCGCCTTGGCCGATAAAGCCTTACCCGTTTCATGCCGATCTCTTTTCAGATCGCCAGGCTTTGGGGAAAACCTATGACCGTTTATTTTCACAATTTTTTTTTTCGTGTGTATTTTTATTTCTTTTTGACTTGCGGCCGCCTTGTTCTCCTGCAACGCTCGTTGTTTTCAAAAGGCGATGTCGATATCACGGAACGCGTTTTTTTACAACGCGGATTCGGATTGGATACAACGCGATCGATGCTTCTAGATGCTACCCACGTGCCTCGGTCTTTGTTCAGCCTGCGTACGCATCTCACGTGTTACCGCGGACTGTGTTTTACCCTACATTATATGTTATTCGTGATAACGCGATTCAGCCCGTAACGAGGTGCTCTTCAGGAATGCAACTGTCGCGTTACAGGAGAGCGGGCCGGGGCTGATCCCTACGTTTCACTCGTATCGTATCGTCTGCACGACCGTTGTCGTGAGCCCAAGTCACGGACAAGAGAGACGGATGGACAGACACACAGACGGGGCCCGACAGCGCTAAAAACAACACAGCGACACCGTCAATCTCAGAGAAGGCAATTAAAACAAGACAACAAAAATTCCAAACGATGACCGGGAGCGGCAGAGGCAGGACCCTCCCCCCACCCCTCCTCCGAAGCCCCACCTGGTAGAGGTAGCGCTGGTTGAACTGCTGCATGGCTCCCTGCAGCTGGTTGCGCTGGATCTGCCACTGCTCGAAGTTGCGCACCGACTCCATGGTGGGACGCTGCCACGTGGTGGTGCGCGTGTTGTGGTCCACGTAGTACACGCGCCCCCGCGGGTCCACGCGCCGCTCCCACCTGCGGAGTGGCCAGAAATGGTGGCTCAACGAAGCGGCTCATCATCATCATCATCAGGTGGAAATGTACAATAGGCAAATACACGCGACGTTGATTCTTGCGACGTGCACGGGTTTGCATTTCGTCGTTTATAGCGGCGGTATCTGACCCCCCCCCACCCCCTTCCCTTTCCCACCCTCTGGCATTGTATTGTAGCCCTTGCCACCTTTCCCCTATGTATTTTTGTATTTCTGATATGATGCACGCAGCCGTGGCATCGTGGGCTGCTCTGACTCACTTGACTGTGTGAATGAACGATTGAATTTTTTAGGGATTATTTCGTCGGGATTGCAACGTAGCCAGCAAGTGGGCAGCAATCATCGCCCCCTGCTCTGGCAGGATACTGCTCGTTTCGCCGGGCCAGGTGCCAGAGTCCACCGTGTGCCATACAGGGACAGCTGCCGCTGGGGGCGGGGGTGGTGCAATGTTGGAGTGAGTGGAGGGCGGCGGCGGCGGCGGCGGGGGTCTCTGTAGAGAAAAACCTCACAAATCGCTGTCACTGACCCGAGCGGCAGTGGTTGCGGCCTCTCCCACGTGGTGGTGCGGGTGTTGTGGTCCACGTAATACGTCCTCCCGTGAGGGTCTGTCCTCTGCTCCCAGCTGCCACACACACGCGTTAGCCACCACGTCGATAAGCGTTAGAAGGGCCCGGTTGCATCGGTTCCGGACTTGCATTTCACGCAGGCCGATTAGCACTCCGCACCGCCGATTAGCACGGTTGGCTACGTACGGCGTGAAGGAAGTTCAACATATGTCCATACATAGAGGCCAATGCTCGCAGAAGAAGAGCATCCCCACAAGAGTAGAGCCTCCCGAGGCTGTTTTGGCCTACTCTTCCACGCTGGCCTGACGTCTCGGAAGAGGTCAGATTAACCACACTTTACTCAACTCGCACGCGACCTGCCAATCTACCGAACTGCGGTTGTAGCCATGTATACCGCTGGGTGGACACAGGGACAGTTGGGGGAGGGGGGGGGGGAGCTGCGGGGGTATTTAAGAAACAACTTGCGCCGTTGTTTCTGTATTGCAAGTCCGGTGTGCCGCTAACCTCGCAGCGCAAGCCATGTCGCAGCATCGCCACATCGCGCAAACCTTTGCTGCTAACCTCACAACCCCCCACCCCCTCCTGTGCCGGAGGCACCACGCACAACGATCTCAACTGCTGGACATCCGCGAAATCGAGCTTAGCAAGTAGCCTTTCGCGACCAATATCATCCATAATTTAATTTTAAAAAATTATTTACGCGATCCAACCCAAAAAAACGCTATTATGAAATCGAGCTTCATAGCTTCATCGGATTCCTCCGGGATAAATGAAGATTCTGATTCAACGCACTTGGCCGGCAGAGGGCCTTGGCAAACTTCGGGACTCTGCATCTCTCCCACGGGGCAGCCGTCGGCCTGTATTGGCGGCGGCGGCGGTGGCGGCCCGGCCTCCGAGTTCGGGGCGCCGTCTGCATCCGACGAGGAGCCGGCGGTGTGCGGCGGCGGCTGAAGCGGCAGCGCCGGCGAAGGCGCCGGCGCCGGCGCCGGCCCCTGCTGGTCGGCGGCGAGCGTCGGGGGAGAGGCCGGCGGCCCCGAGACGGCGCCCGCCGAGACAGCAGCCGCCACCGATGCCGCAGACGCCACCGGCGCGCCGGGGGGCGTTCCCGCTTGCTGCGCATCCGTCGCCGACGAAGCTGCGGCTTGCGCGGAGGAGGTGGACGACGAAGACGGCGGAGACGCGGCGTCGCCGTTAACTGGAAGCCGGCGCGGAGGGCAAGGGGCACAAACAGTAAAAGCTTGAGAGAGGTGGCCTCAGAGCTCTGGGTCTGAATCCGGGTTTCAGCCACTGCCTGAGGTTAAACCGAGTTTTCAAGCGTGGCGAGTGGATGGTCGCAGCACGGCCATGAATGACCGACACGGAGACCCACGGACCGAACTGCGATTTAATCTGCTTCCCAGCCTGCTCACCAATGACCAAGCGGAGAAGCATTAAAATTAGTTCTTAAATTTCCTCAATTCCAGCTCTGAGAAACATAAAATAAACGTCAGGTTGACCGTCACACGCAACGAATCTCACTCTCAAAATGCAGAGCAAGTGGGAAAAGTGCTGCCCCTCTCCACAGTGCCGGGATAGAGATATACACATCGTGATCTCGCTCAGAGGCAACTCTGATATCCGCTTCTGTGGGTGGTCCCTAACACGAAGAAAACTAAACTATTTTATTTGATGTTTGAGCCATATAGCGGTAATGCAGAAGTGACCTGGCCAGAAATGATAGCTCAACGAAGCGGCTTATCATCATCAGGTGGAAATGTACAATGGGCAAATACGCGTGACGTTGATTATAAATGCGGAGGGAAAAAAGCCTGAAGGACCCGGAGGAAAATCCCCACGACTTTCTCGACTCGGTCACCGATGCACATGCGACATCGGCGGCATGGCACGGCACGGCTCGGCTTCCGCGGTGGAAAAACGACCCGGCGACTCGCGAGCCAACTGCTCGGCGCGTCTTGGTTAGTGCCAGTGGGGAAAAAAAAGAGGGGGGGGGGGGGTGTTAGCGGCGGCCCACCATTGCACGGGATGCTCGTCGGCCGAGGAGGAGGAGGCTTCCTGAGTTTGTTTGCGAGCGTGGAGGGGGAGGCCGCGGCGGTGGAGGTTGTGGCCAGGCCCGTGGCGCCGGGTGTCGACGGCGCGACCGCTTCGTCCGCTGCTCCTCCGCCGCCACTCGTGGCCGAAGCGTCCAGCTGCGACCTACGCCCGCCGCGGAGAAGGTCGAGACGCGCCGCGGCGGCGGTCAAAAGACCACCCCACCAACCCCCCCCCCCCCCCCCCCCCCCCCCCCCCCAAGCCGAGCGGCACACAAATCGACAAAAACAGAAACGGGCGATTCACTACGACGACTACTTCTCCTGCTGTTGATAATAATCAAGCGTGGATTTGTAACGTGCGCCAGCTATCGTTCGCTCCACCGAGAGAGAGAGTACAAATAAATATTATGATTCCGTTTCTGAAAGGGAGAGAGCGGTTCAGAGGTGCGGGAAAATCAAAGGCAAGCGGGAAGGAGGGCGGCCAGGACCGGCACGCCAACCGCAACAATTTGCCCAAGTTCTGCGACCGCGCTATTGGGATGCGAGGGGCCAACCCCACCGAACCGATCGTGTGCCACCGAGTGGCAACAACGGGGCTGTAGAAGTGGTGGAGTAAAAGATGGCAGGTGAAGGGTGAAGAGTGAAGGGTGAAGGGTGAAGGGTGACCCCCCCCCCCGGGTGGCTCAAAGAGGTGAGATCGCTGGACTCGGCGTCGCTGAGATCCGTGTTTTAGGGGCCGTTTGCTGATTACGCCGGCTCATCAAGAGTCCATGGTCTCGGCCCGGTCACCAATAACGACGCAAAAAAAAACACTACTTAAGATTTGGTTTAACGCTTCAGATTGACCGATATTTCAGCGCTGAAAATTAAAAATACATCGGTTTGACCGTCAAGTGACGGACATTATTCTCGGCGGCAGGGCGCGGTGGGAAACGTGCTGCCCCCCTGACTGTGCGGACCAGAGGTCAGAAGTAGTGCCATGGTATACACTCTGCGGGCTGTCCTGCAACACGAAGGGCCCACACGCTGCTCTGCATAAGCTCCAAATAGAAACACCGTCTCCGGATGGTGAAGCCGGTATTTCCTCCGAACTCTCTTGACGGAAGGACCCCCACTCTCCCCCACCCCCCCCCCCCCCCCCCCCCCATGTGGTGATCGGCACTCACCACGGCCTGGTCCTGGCAGCGCTGGACGAGGTTGGCGACGACGGCGGGGAGGTGGCCGGCACGGTGGAGTCGCCCGGCGTTTCGGAAGACGCTGACGTACCGCCACCGCCGGCGCCGATGTCCGCTCTCGCAAGCTCCCCATTCTGCATCGGCTCTACGCGCCGCCACCGCCACACACACACACACACCGAGCGTGACGACCCCACGCGGCACCACCATGACAGTGCCGAATATTCAAACCGTTCCTGGGCCTCCGCTAGGTCGACTCGGCATCAAATCGATTTACACGGCGAGACAAGGGCCGCCCACCCCCTCGTGTGCCGTGCTGGCTTTCATAGGTGTTCGCTAACGGCACCGTGCCCCAAAAGTCTGCTCAAGCTATACGGGGGATCTTTGTTCTTTTTGCTGGTAGCGACGGCATCGCCTGTGGGTGGCGGCGACGACAGCGGCGTTGGCGGTGGCAGGCGGTGGCTCACTGTTGGGCACGAGGCGTCCGTTGGGCAGCGCGTCGAGGCTGACGATCATCCCGTCGAGGCAGATCTCCAGGTCGCCGCACTCGCCGCCCACGCGACCCTTGACGTCTCCGCGCAGCGTCTGCTTCAAGGTCACGTTCTCCACTGCGCCCAGGCGCGCGCACGGCACAATCAGCTCTCGCTCCATCGCTCGTCGCCACCGGCCGTTCCGTTACGCTGAAGCGAAGGCCGTTGCGCGGGCGGTTCGCAATACGGGGGTGTATCATAATACGCGGGCGGATCGCGACGCGTTTTTATGGATCTCAGGATAAGTCAAGACAAACGCCAACAATTTACGTACGGTCTGATGGCAAAGTGACAATCCCCTAATAAGAATGTACGTCAAATCCTAACCATGCTCAACTAAACAAACCTGAACATTGCGCCTGATTGGGCAGATGGGTATATGTACGTAGAACTTCTCTTGCACCGGACGTAGCCAACCGTGCTAACCGGGGGTGCGGGCGAGGGGGAAGGACAACTAACTCAACCAAAAAAAGCAGATCTAAAGAAATTAGTTTTCAAACTAGATTATTTAAAAGTGCATAGCTCTGGAGGCTTACTAATATCGGAAGAGACAGTGTTCCAGACGTCCGCAGAAGCACATCTGAAAACACGCGGGAGGCGTTGACCACTGTCTTTGTTCGATGGCAGAGCCAAAAGCCACTGCTGCTACTGCTGCTACTGCTGCAGCTGCGGGCGCGTGCACGTGCACGGGCTCGGGCGAGCCCGTTATTTACACCAAGTGTGCCCCCGCCAACGCAGCAGCAGCCTCGTCGAATAAATGTATCACAAAAACACGCGATGCCTGACGAGCGGAGACTCGGCGCTAAGCGGGGGGGGGGGGGGGAGGTGGGGGAGGGGGGTGGAACGCACGTTTCCCCTCGTTGCTCTTGAGCGCCTCGTAGATTTCCACGATGGTCTTGCCGACGAGCGTGTCCGATCGCAGCGCGTGGTGGTTCCACACCCTGAGCTCCACTTTGCTGTGCGGCGTCACGAGCCTGGGGGACGCACGCCGGCGGTCGGAACGGTGAAATCGCACGGGCAGCGACCGGGGGCGACAACGGTGGGTAAGATCGCGGCCGATGACGAAGAGACTAAATAATAAATGTTGCAGCCCCCGCAATTGATCGTTGCTCATGCTACTGCTTGCGGGAGGGCCTCCAATTCTAGAGGGTACTTTGGGCCGCTCGTCCACGCGGGCCACATGTCAGACGGCGGTAACGAATGGCGGATGACGGTTACGATGACGACTACGATCGCGGCTGTGATGACGATGCCGACAACGTCAACGCCATCGGAGAAACGCTACGTCGCGGCTTGCGCTCTGCACAGGGGGCATCCTACTGAAATGTTATTCTTTTCACAATTATTTTTTTAAATTGTATTTAAAAAATACAGCGAAGAAGATCACACAATTGGGCGAGCAAGACGCGACGGTGAGAGAGCGACCGTCCGAATGGGGGGGGGGGGGGGGGGGGGGGGGGGGGCGGAGGTTGGGGGGAGGAGGAGTCTGCGTACACGGTGAAGTGCTCATCCCAGCGTGGGTGGGTGACGCTGTTCACTTTGTCCGTCTTCTTGGACGACTCCGGCTGACCATCGACCACCAGCTCGACGTACGGACGGGACCCCAGCAGCGACTTCTTGACCTCCCGCAGCCGGGCGCTCACCACTGCAAGAGTCAACAACAACAACGACGACGATGATGACGATGACGACATTTTCAGCGTCCATCTCGTTTTCTCTCAGTTATTGCCGCTCTTTGAAGAGGTCTGTGGGTCGGGTCCGGTGGCCGCCCTGGTAAATACTGCGGTGGGTACCAACTGTAAATACGTGGGCGCCACGGTAGCTAGGCGGTGTTAACTACCTCGCCTGGTATGCAGGAGGTCGTGGGTTTGATTCCAACCCTGACGACGCTTGTTTATTTGATAGTTTGCATGTTGTCCCCGTGGTCGCGTGGATTTTTCTCCAGTTCCTCCACATTAAGAATCAACATGCGTTCAGAGTGTTTTGCGGATATACATTTTCACGTGATAAGCCACTTAATTGAGCTATCATTTGTGGCCAGGTTGTTTTGGAAAAAGAGCTGTATAGCTCAGTGGGCCTTACCTGGTAAAATAAAAGTAAAAACACATTCCTGCGGAGGGAGCTGGTAGGAACGTTGGGTTGCTCGGTCAATGGGCAGGGTCAACGGCGGCACCACGTGGTGTATTCCGCAAATATGCCCGACTGTGAGGGTGGGCACAAGTCGGCATGAGTAGGTTAAACGTTGAGTTTTATAAGGGCACCACGGGGTGAACAGCCCCTCCCCACCCAGCCCCACCCCTCCCATCCCCCACCCAGCCCCACCCTCCCCACCCAGTCCCTTCCCACCCAGCCCGTCCCCACCCTCCCCACCCCAGCCCCTCCCCACCCTCCCCTCCCCACCCAGCCCCTCCCTCCCCACCCTCCCCTCCCCACCCTCCCCTCCCCACCCAGCCCCTCCCCACCCAGCCCCTCCCCTCTCCACCCAGCCCCACCCCTCCCATTTTTGGATGCACGACGGACGGACAAAATAATCCCCTGTGGGCTGGTGTAACCAGAGGTTCCTACCAGTAAAAAACAATAAAACAATATATATTCATCTTTCTTGCAGCTGTATTTTATCCAAACTAAGTGCAGAACGAAATTTTACACGGTGGGTTGTTTGTGCAGCTATTGGTGACAGAGCTGACACCCAGGTCAACTAACTTAACTATTTTTATTTGACCAGGTAAGGCCCACTGAGCTATTTAGCTTTTTTTTCAGAAGCGACCTGCCCACAAAGGATAGCCCACCGAAGTGGATTATCACGTGGAAATGTATAGCAACCAAATACTCTAAACGCACGTTTCTAAATGTGGAGGGAAAAACCGGAGGACCTGGAGAAAAATCCACGTGACCACGGGGAGAACATGCAAACTCCAAATATACAGAAGGCATCGCATCAGGGTCGGGATCGAACCCACGACCTCCTGCATACCAGGCGAGGTAGTTAACATCTCGCCGCCATGGCAAGGCTGCACCCGGTTCAGACCTTTCTGGTCCAATCGCAATCATCACGCATGATCTATCCGCTGCAGGACCAAGGCCTCCCCATGCCCGAGACTAACGACGCGGTGGCAGCCGAAAAGGAGGGAGCGCGTTCGAGAGGGCGCCCACCGAGGAGGAGATGGAGCGGCGCGATCGGATCGTGTGCAGGCGCCGGGCGGAATTGTTACGTCACGGGAGCGTGACGGCAGTAGCCTGCTGAGGAGGCCTTGATGCAGCAGTGGCTTGACCGTGGCGGACAACGATGATGACGACTCCGATAAACGCAACGTAACGCCTCTTGTCACCCGACCACCCAAGTCTTTCCTGCCGCAGGACGCGCTTGACAAGGTCAACAGCGGAACCGCCATTCTCACCGCAGTAACAATTACCCGCGAATCAATTCCCACTAATCGGGAGTTATCCCCGCATGGCTCTTACCCGTGGGGGGGGGGGGGGGGGGGGGGGGTGGTGTGGGCTTTTTTTTATAGTATTTATTTTTTCTTCCCCCGCTGCTCGCGCGGAGGAGTTCCAGGTTTTAACGCGTAGGCTTTCTAGTTCCGGGCGTTACGTTTTCCGCCCTTTCAATGAAGGGGCATCGCCGCTTGGCTTGCCATTTCCCGCCGCAATACTTCAGGCGTAGCCCCAGGAGAGGTGGGGGGGTGCAGAGGTTCCTAAATATATCTGGCGCAACGCTCTTCCCTGCACCGGCCTCGCACACTGCTACTTTTCCTCGTGCGAAACTCGGCGCTAGAATGTTTATCCGGGATGCGATGCGCCAAATCACTTCCGCCCCCCCTCCCCGTCCCCTCCCTCCCCGTTCAGCTTCGCGTACGTTGAACTTCTTAAGCAACGTACGTGGTCAGCCGTGCTGATCGGAGGTGTGGGGGAAGAACGACAAACTGAGCACAAAAAATGCAGTTCTAAAGAAATGAGTCGTTTAAATTTAGATTCAAAAGTGCATAGCTCCCGGTGGCTTCTTAATATCGGAAGGAAGAGCGTTCCAGACGGCCGCAGAAGGGCATCTGAACGCGACGGTTAGGCAAAAAGCTACTGCTGCGTGGATGACCGGAGTTTGCGTGATGATGGTTCATGCTCCGTAGCCAGCCAATCACGATAAAGGTCAGGCGACTGACTGAACGCACGCATTTTAAATGCTTTCCGGGCGTCACGAGTCAGCTCTGCCCACCATCTGTCTGTGTGTAGCCGGGCCGCGGTGGTGGCCGCGCTGTCCTACCAGACAGTCTCGTCCCTTCACCTGATGAAGGCCGCTTGTGTTGTGGCCGAAACGTCGTGAGAATAATTATTGTGTTATTTTATTTTATCAATTTATTATTTTATTCTCATTCTACGTGACTTTACCGAAAGAACCAAAGAAGATGAATCATTGCAGTCACGAAAGCTTTAAATCGGAACGTGGGGTTTCTCCGGGTGCTGCGGTTTCCTCCTACGTGTAGAAACACTCAAGAGGTAGCTGAAAACATCTTAATATAGAGAGAATTGCAGAGCAATCGTATGCACGATGAACTTCTTTCGCACCGTACGTAGCCAAATGGCGCCGGCTCACCGCCTGGCAGCCTTCCGGCTTGGTATGTGGTTCCTCCTCTGCGACTGTGAGAGAAGCAATTTGCATGAACGATGCAAGTAGATATAAAATAATCATAAGTGTTGTTAATTGGGGGAGGGTGGCGGGGTCCATGACAGCTCTAATAATGATCATCCAATATTACCGCTACTATTTTTTTATGTCACCAGGTAAAGCCCACTGAGAATATGGCTCTCTTTTCATAAGTGACCTGGCCACAAAGGATAGCTCAACGAAGTGGCACATCATCACCTGGAAATTTATGGCAGCCAAATACTCTGAACGGGTGATGTTGTTTCTAAACGTGGAGGGAAAATCACGCGACCTTGGGGAGAGAGAGAGAACACGCAAACTCCAAATATACAGCAGCAGTCGTCAGTGTGGGAATCGAACCCATAACCTCCTGCATCCGCTGCACGATTGATTTAAAGGGCGAGACCCAGCGATTAAAGGATTCCCAAGAAAAAAAAACCCAGGGGCCAAAAGGGTAACGCGCACTTCCTGTCCCGATGAGGCCGCTACGCGCGACGTCATCGCATCGGGCGGCGTGACGGCGTGACGTAACCATCGCAAATAAAATCACCTGCGCGTGTCGGGGAAGCATTGCAGAATGCGTGTGCGTGCTTTTTCTCCCCGATTGTCTCGGCGCGGAGGGGCACGTAACCACGTGGATTTCATGTGTTGTGAAAAAATGCAAGATATGTTGACATTAAAACTAAGACTAAACTATGTTTCATTTTGCCAGGTAAGGCCAACTGAGCTATACAGCTCTTTTTCAGAAGCGACCTGGCCACAAATGATAGCCCAGCAAAGCGGCTTATCACGTGAAAATGTATAGCAACCAAATACTCTAAACGCATGTGGAGTGAAAAAAACGGAGGACCCGGAGAAAAATCCATGCAACCACGGTGAGAGAGCCATGCAAACTCCAAACATACAGCAGGCATTAGGGTCGGGATTGAACCCACACCCTTCCTTAAACCAGGTGAGGTGGTGGTTAACATCTCAGCCATTCCATTGCTGTGTTCCTATCATCCTACACTTAAGCCCTGCTAATGCTCAAACTGATAACAGCGCGCCTATCTTGTCACGAACAGTTGCCACAACGTGCCTCACTTGGGGCATGACACATTAACCTTAACCAGGCTCTCTTCCTCGGCCTCCCCTAACACATTGCCAAACTGCTGTTCACACTTCAGCGGACTACACTCAGCGGCCTTAAACGCCACGATGCTCGGTGCATCTACGCCGTGTGTATCTACGCCGGGTGTATCTATCATAGAAGCACGGCATTCCGTTTGTCCATTTGTCCGTCAACTAAATGATAAGAAGGCCCGAATCAAAAAGTTAGAGAAAGTGGACGCCCCCCCCTCTCTCCCAGATGTGGGGGTAAAAAGTTGATCCAACAAAAAGTTGATCCAAAAGGGTTCCAACAATTGTCGACCACCCTCCCCCACTCACAAAAAACAAATTCCTGTTGTAGGCATGTATGCCCACACACCTGGTATACAACAGTCAGTAATATCTACTGACTCTATATACACCTAAACACCCTACATACAACAGTCAGCAGTATCTACTGACTCTATATATACCTAAACACCCTACATACAACAGTCAGCAGTATCTACTGACTCTATATACACCTAAACACCCTACATACAACAGTCAGCAGTATCTACTGACTCTATATATACCTAAACACCCTACATACAACAGTCAGTAATATCTACTGACTCTATATATACCTAAACACCCTACATACAATAGTCAGTAGTAGTATCTACTGACTCTATATATACCTAAACACCCTACATACAACAGTCAGCAGTATCTACTGACTCTATATATACATAAACACCCTACATACAATAGTCAGTAGTATCTACTGACTCTATATATACCTAAACACCCTACATACAACAGTCAGCAGTATCTACTGACTCTATATATACCTAAACACCCTACATACAACAGTCAGCAGTATCTACTGACTCTATATACACCTAAACACCCTACATACAACAGTCAGCAGTATC